CTATCTATCTGTTTATCTATCTATCTATCTATCTATCTATCTGTCTCTCCGTTTGCTCTATGACTGACTGACTGACTGACTGCACAAGTAGGGCAGTATATTGCATTTATTCTTCGTCGGTTTGCGAATGGTTACCACAGAAATAGTTCCAGAACAAACTTAGATCCTTAGAACAATGTCTGATATTCAGCATGGTATTGTCATGAATATCAATCTAAAACGGCCTGCTGTACACAATCTCGCCATATCCTAATAAGTTCTAGTCGGTTTTGAATGAATTTTTCTTGATCAGTTTCCAGACCACAGAAATGTCTCCAATGTATTGTTTTTTCGAAGATCCTACCAAAAATCTCCCTTAGAGGATGAAGTTGTCGAAAAATCAGTCTAATATCCCACACTTGCATTCATCGTCCATTCTCAAAGACCACTACACCATCATTATACCATGATCTCTGACACAAGAAAAAAGTACTTTGGGTACACGAAGTCTCCACCTCAGGAGAGGACTGCAGGCTTATCTATTGATAATGGACCACCAGGACTGAATCTACGTTTTCCAACATGCAACGCAGAATGAGCTGGTTTCGAAAGAAAGCCCTCTGAGCAACACATCAATTTCTGTGGCGCGCCGTCGTAGCAGCCCTTTCGCTGGTATCAACGCCACTCCTGGTTTATCCGTCTATTCAAACCAGCGCTTGATCATCACTTTGTAGAACAAACGGACCAGGCATGGTTGTACATTTGACATTCACCTACATATTTGCATGTCCAGGGTCTGTGAGAATTTCGGGCTTGCGACGAAATCTTCCGTTATGTTAACTGCCCTCAGTCGAACAGTGCGGAGAAGGGCAAAATTGCAGGTAATATTTTGAGCCGATTAGGCCCGAGAATGCAACCAAAATACCAGATTGACTTGGCTAAAAATCGAGTAAGAGAGACCACCTCATAGGAGGAATGGTCCCGTCTGAATAAGTCGGTATCGTCACCTGTTCCAGGTGTCACATAAAGGGGATCATCACGACCAACCCAAACATTCAGGAGCTACTTCACTTATGAAAATTATTCTCACAAAGAAATGTGTCAATTCCACTCAGGTGTACTTTTACAGGTTGCATTCGTTCTTGGACGCCAATAAATTGCCTGGTTACTTCAATTACCTTGTTGAAAACCACGCTTTTGGGTATGATAGTGTGCGCTTCAAGGTAAACACTAAAGTTTATTTCGAGACAGTGAGTTTTAGATCAATTCGTGTCAAAGATCTACAAAGTGAAATCGATTACGGATGCGAATTCGTCTTCTGTAGCTATTCAACAATTCAAAAGGGATCTTTCCCGTATAGGCTCCGCTAGAAAATTCATCCCCGCCACCCAAAAAAGGTTAGAGAAAAGAAGATATGAAATTTTTACTTTAAGTTTTTACCGAAGAGAGTGAAATTGGGACATGTCAATAATAATCTGTCTGAAAAGGTCCGCTTCTCGGTACCTTTGGCTCCAAACGAACTCACACAAGTAGCTGTCCACTGAAGATCGGTGGGAGCAGTGTTGGTGTCTATTCTGGATCTTGTAGATGTACCAAAGAGATTCAATGGTTTATGTGTGAGTTCCAGTCGTTGGATCCACAAAGTTTCGGTATGATTGACCGTTGGAGTCTACAGAAGCCACCAAGCGCAAACTTCGCGAAGAAAGTTCTTCCAGTCAAAAGCGGTCGTGTGACTAATAGATAATCCCTTTGAGCAGAATTTGATTTTTGCCAAACTTTTGGGCAAATTTTCGGACCGCCGATAAATGAATAGAATTACTGTCCTAAACTCCATCCTAGACCGCTCCAGCCAAGTTCCCTTTCGAAGACCGATCTCTTGCTGACACTGTCAGACGGTACACCTCCACCTGTCAGAAACAGTTGAAAGTGTCATTTGGTAGCCATTGTTGCATAAACGTTGCCGATAGATCACTCAGCGGCTTTGCAAAAAACGTATTGGCGTCTCCTTTCATGAATGAGAGTTGAAAGCGTCAGAA